AGTCACCTCAATGGTGTAAAGAAGGGCAGGTGGTGGGGCACCTGGGTGGCTCAGTCATTAAGCGTCTGCCTTCGGCTCAGGTCATGATCCCAGGGTTCTGGGATCAAGCTCCGCATTGGGCTCCCTGCTCTGTGGGAAGCCTGCTTCTCCCTCTCCCACTCCCCCTGCTTGTGTTCCCTCTCTAGCTGTCTCTCTCTCTGTGTCAAAAAAATAAATAAAATCTTAAAAAAAAAAAAGATGAGCAGGTGAGGAGACAGGATGTGAGCTCTGAAGGGGGGGGGAAGGAAGGAGAAGAAAAGACTTAGGGAAAGTAGCAGGGTCGAAGGAAGGTTTTTCTTTGTTTTGGTTTGTTTTTTAGGATAGAAGAGACCAAGAATGTTAGCAGACAGACGGGAAAGACTTGAAGATGAGAAAGGATGAGATTGAAGCTCTAACGGGGAGTAGGAGAGGGTGGGATCATGAATTCTAGTAGAAGAATGAGAGGAGGGACATTCATCTTCTAGAAGAGGAGGAAAAGGAAAGCCTAAAAGCAACACAGTAAGAACTACGCATGAGGTCTTGTATATGGGAGTGTGGTTTATGCTATCAGAAAATGCTGCCAGAAAGGGAAGCCCAAGGATGTTTGGGAACAGACATTTACAAAGAGAGAAACTAAAATGGACACTGACACAATTCTGAGAGCAAGGAAAAAACATATTTTGGGGACCGATAGGCGATTACATATAGGATATCCATGGGGGAAAGGTATTTTTACCTACTTTCTGACATTGAAATAATCTGCCATTGCTGTGTTATCTCTGACTCCACAGAGTGTTTCTGTTGCAGACAGTGCTTCTGTTGGTAATTGTTGACTACTGGTGATTCCAGTCAGATTACATCAACTGGTGAGTTATTCTTCCAAAGCATGTGTGCACATGGGCCGTGCAGGCCAGAGATTTCTATCAGATTCTAAAAACTGCCTCTTCTCTCACCTTGAATCCCCCCTACCTCTACCTTGAATCCTCAGATCTGTAGTAAAATGAGGGAGAAGAAAGGCCAGAAATAAAGGAAGGAGCTTAGAGAGCTTAAACTTTCACCCTTTGAAATAACAGATGAAAGGAAACCAAAGAAAGCCTGCTCACCCTTAAAAAATTGCCATCCCTCTGTTATTTACCTTAAATCTCCTTAATCACCCCCAAAGAAATGGTTCCTCCTTCTGTATAATTTCCCAAAGTTCTCATGTCTGCAAATATCTAGCATATAAAATTGGCCCAGCCCCACCTGCCTCCCATTCAGATTAACCCCGTAGACGGCCTGCACATCTCACTCAGAGAGTGCACAGCCTCATCTGGCTACAGCTGACACATTCTGTGTGCCCCCCTCCACTTCAGATTCCCAAGAGAGGCAATCAAAGACAGAGAATGTCAGAGTCAGCAACCTCTTTGGTCTTTAGGGTTTCTGCTGGGCTCAGCAGTGCCCATGGGGGATGTCTAATATGGTCTAAGGGATAGGCAAAGAAGATACAAAAATAAAAGTGATTGGGGAATATGGGGGAAAAATAACAGGGGTGGGTGTGATAGAAAGATGAGATAAAGAACAAAGAAAAAAATGTTACTATTTAGATGGAGGGAGCCCAACAATCGTGGCTTCCCAGATCATTTCCCTGTCATCCCTGGGCTGTAATTATCCATCTCAGGTGTTCAGTTCTACAAGAGCTTTGGACCAGTGCGAGAGAACCGAGTTTCTAACTCCAGCACAGACCCTGGTGAGCTGAGTGACCATGGGCAGAGCACTAGGTTTGTTCCTCATCTTGAATGTGATCACCCTGAAGATACTTTTGAGTTTTAACAGTCCTTTCTTCTGTTCTGAGCCTGTACCTCATTAAGAAGCTGCTTTGAGCCTGTTCCCTGACGTGAGGACCTGCTTATTTTGTTGTATGTATCAGTGCAGAGAATCTAGGAGCGTGAACTGGGAAGGGAGACCATCAAAGTGCATTTGTGTGAGTGTGTGGATAGGACCCTCCCGATTCAAAAGGTTGGCTAATTACTAAGAACAGGGTTTCCGGCGAGTTATAGACACTCTGCATTTTAAGGCCGCTGAGGTGATGAGCCCACGTGCACATCTCGTGTCCGTCTCCTCTCCCTCTGGGGTGGCATGAGGCTGGGTTTCTGGGGTCTCGCAAAGCACGCAGTGAGCCTGGTTCTTGGCACCGGGTGGGATGCACCATCTCTCCTTCCACAGCCCTTAATGAAGTGTGCAGCTCTTGTCCTCATTAGGCCCCAGCATCGTCAATAAAAGAGTCAATAAACCTGGTTGATGGGGTTGGGACCGAGGGGCTGAGATGCAGCAGTCGCACATCCACAGGGCAGACGTCAGCTTGGCCGCGTGTCGTGACCCAGCATCCAGGGATCAATAACCAGCTCAGAATAAAGTCCAAGAGCCTGCCCTCCACAGTCTCCTCTCCAGACCCATTTCACCCAGGGTGGAGCAATGCCAGCCGGCTCCTGCTTTGCTTGTAGTTGATCCCACCCCATGCCATTCTGGGTGCCAGATGCTTTTGCTTCGTCCTGATTGAGCCCCCCTGGACACCCCACGGATGCATGTTTAGTGAGGGCCCACCTGGCATGAGAACATGTAGATGGCATCTCCAAGCAGCCCAGAGGCTGGCATGGACCCTGTTTCCCGTGTCTTCTGTCTGCTGACAGTTGTGTGAGGGGCCCCAGTGGATCGGACGGTATATTTTCTGCATGTTGTGCTGCTGGACTCCATTTCTGGCTGCTCTGCATCTCTTTTAGATACCCTTATCTTATCTAATTACAAGGAATTTCAGATTAATTTCGTGGCCTCTGCTCTGAAGGACCTCTTATCTGTTGGGGGGGCCTTGTATTTTGACCTTGTCATTCTTTTGTTGTTTGCCTTTAAGGGGCAGGCAGCTTCGAAGGGGATGCTAAGAGCTTGCTGGAATTGGGGCTGGGAAGGGGAAGAAGAGGGAGGCAGACAGATCTGGGATTTGTGTATTCTGCTCCATCCTCCTGCCTGTGTGCAGAGACAGCTGGCTGCTTACTTCCATGACAGCCACATGGTACCCAGCCACACAGAAAAGGACCCGGGCAGGGACTCACCTGCTGCCAACATCTCCAAATCCCTTTGATATTTCCGACAGAGCAGTAAAGGACTCTCAACTATCACGTTTGGCCTTGCCTCTCTCCACCCTCTCCAAGACTCCTCGGTGTGGTTTCCATGGCTACCCCCAATCAGATTTGGCTTCTTGCGAAATTGGATTTCAAAGAAGGACAAGGCTTCAAAGGAATTTGTCCATTTAACAGAACGTCATTAGGAGTGAGGCTGACTGCTGAACCAGGGTCCTCAGATGATTAAGGAGGGGTCGCGCTCATGTGTGGAGGCAGGTTTCTGTCTGCAACAAGGAAACTTGATGCAACATGACAATGCCGTATTGCAATCTGCCAGTCACCCACCGCACACTACCCACCTCTGCACCTCCCTCTCCTCCTATCTGAGACCCAGAATGGTTGTAGAATATCCATGCCTCCAGTTTCTGCTGCTTCCTTTGGTATAAGTAAGCTATGCAGGCCTGAGAGGACGGAAGATTACCCGGGTTCATTGCTCTCCGCCAAACAACTCATTAGCTTGTGGCCTATATTAGCATTTGACAAATATCCTTGAAGAAGTTTGGGGGGGGGTTGTCAAATTTCCTCCCACTGCTGAATGGGGAAAAAAAGGCAAAGTGCTGGGGTTACGTATAGGAGGGGCTTTGTTTCCCTTGCTTTTTTTTTTTTTTTAAAGATTTTATTTATTTATTTATTTGAGAGAGAGAGAGAAACAGCATGAGAGGGGATAGGTCAGAGGGAAAAGCAGGCTCTCCGCCGAGCAGGGAGCCCGATGTGGGACTCGATCCTGGATCTCCAGGATCATGACCTGAGCCGAAGGCAGTCGCTTAACCAACTGAGCCACCCAGGCGCCCTACCTTGCTTTTTTTTTTAAGAACAGTTTCGGATTTACAGAAAAATTACGATGCTGGTACAGAGAGCTCTGATATAACCTCCCTTGCTTTTTAATATGTCATAAGCATTCAAAAATGATTCCGGAGCAGTTACAATTTTATAGAAGGAGCAGTTGAGTGTGATAAAAATGCCCTAGCAGGGACCCAGTATTTGCTCTGGAGCCTAAAGAAGGCAGCCTGTCTATTGTTAACTTTTCCAGAGCAAGGAGGAGCAGCCAGCCCACCCCCAGCCCAATTTGCTGCAACTTGTAGGTGGGTCATGTGATCCTGAAACCAAGGGACCATTCCTCTTCAGATTGCAGGATGTGGACGTGTAAAGATGACTCAAAACCACTGCACCCCTTAAAGGATCAAGCCCCCAACCTTGGGAAACTATGCCAGGAGGCAGGCAGTGCGACGCCATGTCTTTCTGGACAGTTTCTCCTTGTGGCTCCTGTCCCCATATCCATGGTTCCATCATTATTTTCCCTGAGGCTGCTGTAAAAACCACCTCACCGATCTTCCCTGTGTTCTCTCCCTTACAGCTTCTAATCCTTCCCACATATTCTGTAGGCAGAGTCTGAGACTAGAAACTCCATTTGTGATAAAGAAAGAAAACAGTAGAGGTAAAGTGAGATGTGCAAGATCACACACTACACAGGTCGCTCTCCAGCTCAAAATTTGTCAGTGTCTCCCCAGCGCACATTCGGTTGAGTTCAAAATCCTTGTTCTCACTTTCATGTCCCTTCACAATAAAACTTCAAGTTTTCTTGACAACCGTAATTTCCCTCCACCATCCAGTAAAAGGGTTATTAGCTATTCCTCAAGCAGAAGGTTTTTCCATCTTTGTTTACTCTTGTCGTCGCACCTGGAAAGCCCTCCTGCCCCTTGGAAGTCTGGTGTGTTCGGAGCCCATCTTGAATGCCATATGCACCATTAAACACACATGGACCCACACTTCACTCCTTTTTATATTTGTCTCCCACCTTTTACCGCTCATGGCGGTACACTTTTACCGCTCATGGCGTTTTATACTTTCATGGCACTTGATTTATTGTGCTTAAAAAACCCCCACGAAACTATTTTGAGATCGAGATTCGCAGAAATTAAAAGAAATGATACAGCGTGATCCTCTCTACCCCTTACTCAGTTTCCCCCCATTTTAACATCTTGCAATATGACAGTACCATATCACAACCAGGACGCTGCCCCCCACTGTAGTTTGGATGAGGGGAGGAGAACACTTTTCTGTGATCTTGTCCTTCACTTTCCTCCCTTCGTCAGCTGTTAGAGGGAAAAGTCTTGGTTCCCCTCTCCCTCGGCCTTCTCCCCAGGTTACCCCTTCCTTCCCTCACATCCTTTCAGCCTTAGTGAGGAAGGGACACTGGCTCCCTGTATCCACTGCCGCCCTGCCGCTCTGCTTCTCCCCAGTGTTGGTGGCTTTATATTACTTAGTGGGACGTTCCCTTTAGCCAGCTGGTTTGCCCGAGACAGTGAACGTTCTGCCCTGGTTTTCGCGGCGTGGACGTGCGAGCTGGATCGGGAACGGCCTGCTGCTGGGCTTGGCGTGGACGAATCTCCTCGGATTCTGCCTCTCCGCGCCCCATCTCGGGCACCACCGTGGCTTTTAAATCTGCCCCTTGAGGCCAACTGCCCCGTGCTTAGGATAGAAAGTGTCCCAGGAGATGAAGTTCCTTCGGGCCGCGTTTAGTCTCTTGTTCTGGTGGGGGTTAGCCTGTGCGGCGCTCCCCGCCCCGCAGTCCTTCCACCTGAGGGCGCCGCGGGAGGGGCGCGTGCACCCGCGCACAGGTGTT